TTTTCTGGTGCCTGAAGTCTACTATTCTTTTTTACTGCAAAAGTTAAGAGAACATCCTATTTTCTGGCTAACTAATCTAAAAGAATCTTTCTATCAACAAATTAGCCTAAAACAACCCAGAAGCATTCAAACAGGTGTATCCATAAGATATAAAACTATCTACAGCTAACATAAATGACATCAACAAATAGCAATAATAAAAATGGCATTGTATGAAAACTCTAAGACAGATGATTAATCATAATTATTTGTTAAAAGAGAAAGGAAATTTTTCAGTGTAAGTTAAGATGTTTCAACATCCTGAAGAAAGACAAAAAGATCTTGATTCTACACTGGTTCCTGATAAATAGACATCATCTAGATATAAAATTTAAACTTCATGCTAAGAAAAAGGGTTTGGCGGCCGGGCATGGTGGCTCACGCCTATAATGCCAGCACTTTGGGAGGCCAAGGTGGGTGGATCACAAGGTCAGGAGTTTGAGACCAGCCTGGCCAATATGGTGAAACTCCGTCTCTACTAAAAAGACCAAAAATTTAGCCAGGCGTGGTGGTGGGCATCTGTAGTCCCAGATCGTCCTCGGGAGCCTGAGGCAGGAGAATCACTTGAACCCAGGAGGCGGAGGTTGCAGTGAGCCAACATCATGCCACTGCACTCCAGCCTGGGTGACAGAGGGAGACTCCGTCTCTTAAAAAAAAAAAAAAAAAAAGAAAAAAGAAAAAGGTTCTGGCTATAACTTCTTATTCAAGACATTTATGTTTTCAAATCTGTTCTTTCTTCTCTTCCACTGTGAATAAATTAGACAGGTTTGTGCACAGATTTTTGCTCCAAGATGGGAGAAGTACAGAGGTTACGGCCACCAAACCAGTGCATCTGGACCCAGAGGATGACAGGCTTTATTTCTGGTTTGGATGTTCTGTTATTTTCTTTCCACATACCATCACACAGATATTAATCACAACTAGGTGATTTCAGGAGACACTGGGACAGCTGATAATCAAAGGCCCAGAGATCAAATAACTGCTTGCTATGTGTTCTCACCACACTGCCTTACTCTTATTACTAAAATAAATGACCCATTCCTCCAGGCTGATATTGATGGAAACTCGCATGTTATGATAGTAGTAGTTTCTCTCTTTATTTAATATCTTCTTAAATGCCTATTCTATGAGCACTTTCAAACAGTACAACAGAAGTCCTTTAGCTCAGATGTGCAAGAGCTACTTATTAGTAGCTTGCTCACCCTACGATCCCCACCTCATGGAAGCTTTTGATTTTTATCACCTGGTCAACAGAATTGACAAATTCTCCCTGTACTATGAGTTGACAGATAAAGCCTGGCAAAAGGTAAAAGCAAAGAATGTAGTAACAATCCTTCTTCCTTCCACCTCTATTAACATCCTCCCATCATAGAAATTTTGTGAAGGAATAACATTCTTTACTCAATCTTATAATACAATTCTAAACTTCATGCTAAAAATAGTTTCCCAAGTCACTGATTTTAAACATCTATTCTTTTTGTACTTCAGAATTGTTTTCTCTTTGTATAAAATATAATTCATTTCTTTATTTCATTGTAACTCACTATATTTCAGAACGTTTCTAGTTATACAGCCATTCTACAGAACACTGCTATTCAAAAATATGTCTCCCTAAAGATAAAATTATAGATAATTTTTGTTTCCTATTTCATAATTTGTTTTCAAAATGTTCAATTATGTGGACATAATTTTCATATATATATAAAAAGGGCAGTGACGATAAATAAAATGTCACATACCTGCCACAGAAAATAAATGTTCTACAAAATGGTATTAACAAATAATAATCTTACACTTTAATAATACTTAATGCTGGCAAATATACAATTAAATTACACCTCAGAAATGTTAATGATAGTATAATACCAGTTACAGAAACTTTCATAATATACTAATTTTAAATTAAAAATAAAAGACCAATAAGAGCATTAATGTATTATGTATATTTCCTAAAAACTTGAAAATTCTTATATCCAATAATTAAGGAATACTTAGATATATTATGGTATATCCTTCAATTGAACACTAGTGCCAGACTTAAAAATGGTTAAAAAGCTCATGAGATAACATATAAAAATAAGAATACAAAATAGTTTTGAGATTACAATTAAGTAAACGATGCCAAGGTTAAGTCTGAAGGAGATAAGCTAAATTATAACTGCATTATGGTGACAGAAATTTAGATTTTATGTCTATTCACTTTTCAAAAAGTGTTTCTATTTCTCCTATTGTAAATGAACAAAATAAAATAAACCTAAAGACTAGCAGTGGTAACAAAATGAGACTATGTGAAAGAACAAAACCACAAAAGAAACTCTCAACAGAGTAAATACACAACCTACGGAATGGCAGAAAATGTTTGCAAACCATGCATCTGACAAAGGTCTAATATTCAGCATCCATAAGGAACGTAAACAAATTAACAAGAGAAAAACAAACAGCCCTATTAAAAAGTGGGCAAAGGACATGAACAGACACTTTTCAAAAGACATATATGCAGCCAACAAGCACATAAAAAAAGCTCAATGTCACTGATAGAGAAATGAAAATCAAAACCACAGTGAGATACTTACTACATCAAGCTAATCAGAATGGCTATTATCAGAATGTCAAAAAAATAACAGATGCTGGCAAGACTGGAGAAAAGGGAACACTTACTTACACACTGTTGGTGGGAGTGTAAATTAGTTCAACCACTGTGGAAAGCAGTGTGGCGATTCCACAGAGAGCTATAAGCAAAACTACCATGTGACCTAGCAATCTCATTACTGGGCATATACCCAGTAGAATATAAATCATTCTACCATAAAAACACCACATACATGTTTACAAAAGCAAAGACATGAAATCAACCTACAATGACATATTCAATAAAGAAAATGTGGTGCATATACACCATGGAATCCTATGCAGCCATAAAAAAAACGAGAGCATGTCTTTCAAAGGAATGTGGATGGAGGTGGAGGTCATCATCCTTAGCAACCTAATGCAAGAGCAGAAAACCAAATACCATACATTCTCACTTTTACATGGGAGCTATGTGATGAGAACACATGGATACATTGGAGTAACACCACACACTGGGGCCTTCTGGAGGGTAGTAAGTAGGAAGAGGGAGAGGATGAGGAAAAATAACTAATGAGTACTAGGCGTAGTACCTGGGTGATGAAATAACCTGTCTAACAAACAGACATGTGTTTAACCTATTAAGAAACCTGCACATGTGCCCCTGAACTTAAAATAGAAGATTTAAAAAGAAGAATGTTAATGGTAATAAACATGTTAATGGGAATACGTAACAGAACAAAAAATGGTGCTGGATTAAATAGAAAAAAATGTTTATTTGCCCGTATCACAGCTTTGTTTGGGCTCAATTTTCAGAGCCAACACCAAGCTGTGACACTGGCAAATCAACTCACATTAACAGCACAGTGTCCTCCTCAGCTGTATCTGGAGAATCTCCTGTACATCCTCACATACACTTTTCCCTGCACACAATGGAACTCAAAAAAATATTGCCGCATGTATGCACAGAAGAGGCTTTTGCGATACTAAAGAAATTCTGCTATTCTGGTAACTTCATTGCTTGAGATGAAATCTAAGGTGAACTCTAAGCTTTTACCACATTCCATCTCTAAAGAAGACTTCTAACTAGTTTTCTATTTCCCTATGATAGCAGGATTCTGTTTATAGAGAAAGTTAGTCTTACATGAAAAGATAACTTGGTAGTCCCATATTCATTTCATTCCTTAAACCAAGAGAACTCAAAATGTAAACAGACAAACGGTAAAAACAAACTGAAGTTCCCAAACATTCACGTTCTGTTTGTTTAAAGTGAGAATGTTTGTTCAAAGATTATTAAATTTGCTTGTGGGGTAAGGACTTCACAGCAGAAAACAAGTTCATTACACTGAGAAAATGATACAAGAATCTGTCAGTAGTATATCAAATTTAAAAAAATGTATTATAAAGTTCAAAGCAGATGCCAAATAATCATGTCAACTTCTTCTATGAGCATATAACATTTTTACATTTATATCAATTAATGTAAGCTTTTTAAACCAACAACGTCGCTGAGCTTATCACCTACAGGTTCAGTAGAATGTTGGGAAGGAAACAGCACAATCATTTGATCAACGAATATTGGCTGAGTATCAGCTACTTCAGGGCATTGTGCAAAGAGTGACTGGCTACCAAGAACAAGAGAGAGGGAGGAGACAGCAGTCTCCTTACTTCACAGAGCTGACTGCCCAAAAAGAAAAAAGGATGCCAACAACAAAAATACAATGGGAAGTTTTTTTCAGGCAATCATCAAACACTTATTGAGTGCCTACTATGTGCCAGGTGTCACGGGAAAGGCTAGAGAAACATGGTGAGAGTTTTCTTAAGAAGACTGAATAACTATTCTCATAAGGCTAACCATTTAAATACACAGGAGGGCTGTATTCACATAATCATGTAACAGGTAACTGCACAGTAAGCAAAGAGAAACTAGAGAAAAGAATCAGGGAGGACAACACAGAATAGGTAGAGTTGGCTTCACAGAATGTTGTCATGCTGGAGCTGAGACATGTCGGGGTGGGCATAAGGGAGGTGGGGCATTTGAAAAAAGGCAGCGATGTACTAGGGGGTGAAAAGCAAGTAGCTTAGAGAAGTGGAAAAACTGTAATGACTCGGAAAGTGATGGGAATAGACAGCCAAAGACCGGGTTATTAAGGGATGTAAATTCCATACTACGGCTTTTTCTTGTGTTGCTGTTTCTTAATGAGAGGAACTAACACACGTTTTTATGCTATGCTGAAAAAGTTACGCAGAAATGACAGTTTCAGGGAAAATACATTTAGGACAGCCACAGGTGTAACATAGCTGATAAATAACCTACAAATGGAGAATAAAATGTGAGGCCATTACAGGTTTTAACAATGTCAGATTTTCTTTTTTTGCACCAGGTACAAGCTTACCCCAATGATACTCAGTCCTTTGAGGTAGTCCTGGCGAGGCTGGGCTTGAGGAACACATCCAGCCAGTACTATTTTCTTGTTCTCCTCTTGAGCTTTTCTAAAGGATTGAAGAGAAAACAGTGTGAATTCCTTTGCTCACGGGTATACTCTTGGAAACTGTTGTTAGTACATATTAGTTGTCCAAATAATAATAGGCCTATCTCAAATGAAACAGGATTTTCTTACAACTGGTTAAAGAAAACATAATAAAAATTTTGTAAGGCCGGGCGCGGTGGCTCAAGCCTGTAATCCCAGCACTTTGGGAGGCCGAGGCGGGTGGATCACGAGGTCAAGAGATCGAGACCATTCTGGTCAACATGGTGAAACCCCGTCTCTACTAAAGGTGCAAAAAATTAGCTGGGCATGGTGGCGTGTGCCTGTAATCCCAGCTACTCAGGAGGTTGAGGCAGGGGAATTGCCTGAACCCAGGAGGCGGAGGTTGCGGTGAGCCGAGATCGCGCCATTGCACTCCAGCCTGGGTAACAAGAGCGAAACTCCGTCTCAAAAAAAAAAAAAAAAAAAAAAAAAAAAAAAAAAAAATTTGTACAATATGTCTATTTATCATAGCATTAAAGAACACAATAGCAATCCAATCTGACAATGCCTTTCATTACTGTCTCATTACAAAACAACAAAAAAAATCCATTATTTTTTACTTTATTCCTAAGGACATGAATCACTCTTGAAAACTACATTTTCCAGATAGGCAAGCTAAGTCTTCAAGTAGGTTGCTTATTTTAAATGTTAACGACAATATGCCTAAAACTTTATTAATAGATTATTTCCTAGTCTTTTGACCAACATAAAAGTAAAATATGCCGTTTAAAAACTGAAACAGAAAAGAGTAAATAAAAGGTACAATACCCTATGTTCCAGTAATTCAGAAGTCTCCTCAGTACTGTTCCCCAGAGACACACTATAGCTGATTGCATATGCTTACTTCCAGACACCAGACTATCCCTCACATATGCAAGCATATATGGGAAAACAAGCTTGTGCTTTGTACATACGAATAGATACAAATGTTTGAGAAAGTACTTCTGGATTACAGAAACACAGATGTGAAATCCACACGAAGTTGTGTAATTACTTCCCTACCATAAATTCTAAGTAACTGGGTGCAGTGGTTCACACCTGTAAGCCCAATACTGGGAGGCCAAGGCGAGAGGATCACTTGAGCCCAGGATTTTGAAACCAGACTGAACAACATTGCGAGACCTTGTCTCTACCAAAAATAAACAACTTAGCTAGGCATGGTGGCACATGTCTGCAGGCCCAGCTGTTGTGGAGGCTGAGGTGGGAGGAGCACTTAAGCCCCAGGAGCTCAAGGTTGCAGTGAGCTTTGATGGCACCACTGTACTCCAGCCTGAGAAACAGGGCAAGACAGAGTCTCCAAAAAGGAAAAAAAAAAAATCTATAAAACAGAAATGTTGGTTCAAAGGTATACATATATGGCTATTTTTTAAGCATTTCTTTACTCAAGACAGTGCTGGCAATGTATTTTGATGTGACATTACCATTCAGGTATGTGTTGATATAGTAAACATTTATTTTGTGCTACAAGACAGTAGTGAACAAAGCAAAACTTATATCTTTTCCTACAAACTATTCAAATCCTTTGCCCATCGTAAAATTAAACTTTCAAGTCTTCAATTCTTCTGCATGAGCATGGGTTTTGGAGTCTGATTTGATGCTTGTTGACTTTTATCTTTGGGCACTGCATATTATGTACCAAATTGGGTCCCTCCTTCCACCACTACAAGCAACCTCTGGGTTTCTGAGAAAGGTAAGGGTCTTCGCAGCCCAGTTTCTGTACATGTAACATTAAACTGTGAGGGCTCTAAACCAAGCACACTTTTTTGTCTTTGTCAACTTTTTCAAGAGTACAAATTCAGAACTAGATGCCAACAAAAAATTGGGCTCTTTGCGATAAACAGCCACATCAAAATTTTCTGAGAAGTACACAGAGAATGATTAAATAAATGAACAGACAGAGTACAAAATACTATTTTAACAGCACCTGTGTTTCATTTCAATCGCTTCTTAGAACACTTTGATAGAATTTTCCTTCTTGGAATCCCTAAAAAACTTAACAAAATAAAAACAAATCTGACTGTGGTAGATTGCATAGCACATCCAAGAGAATTACTGCCTGGCTCTGCCACCTGGTTTATCTTATCAGTACCAAACACATCAATGCACATAAATACTTTTCTTGTATTAAATGTGAAATACCTTATCAAATAAAAAAAATTCCATTTTCATTAGCCGTGTATACAAAGAAGTTAACATCAAGTTTCTTCAAGAACTTTCATTGTAACACCTAGAATCGCTGCCAAACATCCAAGGTAGACCCTGAGATGACTAATAATTAAATCCAAATTTAAAAAGCCGGCTTCCTGTAATGCTATTGAATTACTTATTAAGCATATCTAAGACATTACGGTGAGTGTTTAAGAGAACATGGTGGCCAGGCGCGGTGGCTCAAGCCTGTAATCCCAGTACTTCGGGAGGGAGGCCAAGGCAGGTGGACCACGAGGTCAAGAGATCGAGACCATCCTGGTCAACATGGTGAAACCCCGGCTCTACTAAAAATACAAAAAATTAGCTGGGCATGGTGGCGCGTGCCTGTAATCCCAGCTACTCAGGAGGCTGAGGCAGGAGAATTGCCTGAACCCAGGAGGCGGAGGTTGTGGTGAGCTGAGATCGCGCCATTGCACTCCAGCCTGGGTAACGAGAGTCAAACTCCGTCTCAAAAAAAAAAAAAAAAAGAGAGAGAGAGAGAACATGGTAGTAAAGAAGACAAGGGCTGGCTGGGCATGGTGGCTCATGCCTAAAATCCTAGCATTTTGGGAGGCTGAGGTGGGTGGATCACCTGAGGTCAGGAGTTCACGACCAGCCTGGCTATCATGGTGAAACCCCATCTTTAAATTAAAAAAAAAAAAAAAAAAAAGACGATGACAAGGGTCTTGCACTCAACAAGCTTATGCTTTATAATAATTGAGATATAAAAGAACATTAAAAAAACAGCATCCAATAAGGTGCCCTTAGTGACAGAGAGATGGACAGCTAACACACCATGAAGGAGAAAAAGAAAATGCAGAAAACACAGAGAAAAGCTTCATGAAGAAATTTAGGAGGATTTTCTTGGCAAGCCAGGAGGAGGAAAAATGGAGATGACGGAGGCAGAGAAAGCTCAGGGCAGCTGCGAAAGCATGAACAAAGACAGGGAGGAGGAATGTATTTCATTATATTAACAGAAAGAACTTCTGTATACGGGAGAATGAGAGGACTTAATACTGTAGAAAGAACCTTAAGAGGCTAGAGAGTCTCTAATTTTGTGGGCAATATGAAAATCTCTTAAGTTTTGATGGCTGAGTGGAACTTTGAGAACACTGGTGACATAGTATAAAAAGTCAATACATTTGACATTGACATTCCCCTTCTGTTTGCCCTAAATAGAAGGGGAAAAGAAGCCAGGAGGTAAGGAAATTAATTGAATACCCTAGGCAAAAGGATCAGAGAACCAGAAGGCATGCAGAAGATTTTTAAAAAGATAACGATGACTAAAAAAAAAAAAAATGGAGTTTAGTTCTCTTGCTACAATATGCTTGAAAAATACCAAAGGAGGAATCCAAGGTAATGCCAAAGTTTTAGTCTAAAGTAGGGGTCAGCAAACTTTTCTATAAAGGGTCAGAAAGTAAACATTTCAGGCTTTGCTGGTCTATTGCAACTTCTTAACTCTGTGACATTAGTACAAAAGCAAGCACAGACAATACTTAACATGAATGGGTGTCTCTAATATTAATAAAACTTCACTTACAAAAACAGGCAGCAGGCCAGGTTTGGTTTGTGGGCCATAGTTTGCTAATCGATAGTTTAGAGAGACAGAGAGAGAGACGGGTGGGGGGTGGCAGCAGAGAAACAGGGAAACAGTTGTGCTACTGGCTATCAGAGCTGACTGAGTACTGGGATAGAAGGTAATAAAAGTCACACAGAACACACTGAATCTGAGGATCTAGAGATGCCCAACCAATCTCTGAAACCCAAGTTGGATGGCTGAGAATAAATCCAAGGGTAGATTTTGGAAATGTCTTTCAAAGTGATAGGTGATGACAGTGGATGCAGGTGTCAAAGTGTGTGGAGAGAATCCAATCCAATACAAAATGTTACAGTTTTATAGAGGTGTACAAACATTTCTATAGGATGAAAAATAATAGTATGGAAAACAAAGAACAAATCACACTGTGACAATAAAAACTGTGGTTAGCACTTGCATAGCACTTAATCAGGATAACCACCATTATATAATTAGTTGTGCAGAATACTTGAAAACAGTACAGCCAATATATAGCAACTCAGGGACAACGTCCCAGTGACATCAAACAGGCGAGGGCTTCTTTTAAGGGAATAAGAAAACCCCAAAACTAAAAGAAAAATCGAGGTACATGATTAACTAATTCACACAATACACCCACTGATAGGGTCCGGCTGTGTCCCCACCCAAATCTCATCTTAAATTGTAGTTGCCATAGTCTCCACATATTGTGGGAAGAACCCGGTGGGAGATAACTGAATCATGGGGGTGGTTTCCCTCTTGCTATTCTCGTGATAGTAAGTTCTCCTGAGACCTGATGGTCTGTAAGGGGCTTCTCTACTCCCTCTGCTCTCATTCCATCTCCTGCTTCCCCATGCCTTCTGCCATGGTTCTAAGTTTCCTAATTAAACCTCTTTTCTTTATAAATTACCCGGTCTCAGGTATGTCTTTATCAGCAGCGTGGGAATAAACTAATACACCCATGTAACAAACCTGCATATGTACCCACTGAATCTAAAATAAAAGTTGAAATTAATTTTTTCAAAAAAGAGAAGGCCAGGTGTCGTGACTCAGGCCTATAATCCCAGCACTTTGGGAGGCCAAGGCAGGTGGACTGCCTGAGGTCAGAAGTTCGAGACCAGTCTGGCCAACATGGTGAAACCCCATCTCTACTAAAAATACAAAAAAATTAGCCTTGCCAGGTGTGGTGGCATGCGCCTGTAAACACAGCTCCTCAGGAG